GATATTCCATACCATATGATGTCATGCTCAGTATATAAAGCTGGGGGAAGAAGAAGGAAGGGGGGGGACATTGGGAGTGATGGCGTTTGTCTTCCCAAGTCACCGTTAGGCGTGATGGAGCCCTGCTTTCCTGGGGATGGCTGAACACCTGCCTGCCCATGGGAAGGCGTGAAGGAATTCCTTGTTTTGCTTTGCTTGCGTGCACGGCTTTTGCTTTACCTATTCAACTGTCTTTATCTCAACCCATGAGTTTTCTCACTTTTACCCTTCCGATTCTCTCCCCCATCCCACTGGGGGGGGAGTGAGCGAGCGGCTGGGTGGGGCTCAGTTGCCTGCTAAGGTTAAACCACGACACCTGCTCTGTGAAATACTCAGATATGTGGGCTGCCCAATCCCATGGGGAGGGCAGGAGGAGCAGTCAGGGCCCCTGCCAGTCATCATAAACATTAGGGTGAACAGTTAGTTCATCCAACCAGCCTGCCAGGAGAGACCCTCTGTAATTAGAGGCTCAATTCAGTCTCAGTTATGCCACAGCGTTGCAAAAGGTCAAACTGGAATTAAGTTTTTAATTAAAACTGAGAAAGCACTAAAGAGACAGAGAAATGAAGCACTGGGCTTCAACCAACAATGAGGACACATATCTAATGAGCTGATCAGAGATGACACGCTGGCTTTTGCAGCAGAAGTCTCTGCATGTTCTGGCAGTGTACCAAAGGGATAATCCCTCCTGCACAGGGGTTCAAAGCTCTGCACGAAAAGGCCACCACAGTGACAAAGGCTAAAAGCAGGGGACGCTGCCACATGGCCATGTTTCCCATCATCCGAGAACCCAATAAAGCATTCAAGATGATGAACTTCCCAGTGCCGTTTCCTCAGTTCCCCTCCATTTCAATGGACCCATCATTCAAGTTTATTGAGCCCCTACAGAGATCTGGCAGCATCTCTCACAAGTTCAACTGAATATGTAAAGTGCTGGAATCAATGAGTGCAGCAATGCCACGAGAATGGGCCTTCATGCAGGAGAGATGCAGAACAGGGGAGAGAGTAAGAGAAACTTGAGGCCAAACCAGGTCTGAGCAGAGCCCTAAACATCAAAACTCTCAGAGACACTAGGGATGTGGAAAAGCAAATGGCTCATGGCCTCCTCCGATCATACCTGCCAGAGCCCTGAAGGTCCCTACTTTGCTGTTGCTTGGACAGAACAGGGCAGATGGAGAAGCAAATCCCAGCGAGGAAGGAGGAACAGAGGTTTTACCTGAGATCTGGACGAAGTTCTCAATACCCTCCCCTATCCCCCTCCCAAACTTACCCAGATGCCTCGACTGAGGCAAAAGTGCTTATCTTGCTCCTAAAGCCTTCTGTTGATAAGAACAACTCTAAAGTGCGCGAGGGGAGGGGAAGTATGAGGGGCAGGCGGACATGGTGCATCAAAGAGCATCAGAAGCTCTGAGTTCTGGTCTTGGCTCCACTGTGTGCTGGTGCCTCTGTGAGACCAAGGGCCAAATTACTGCACCTCTTTGCGTCCCTTAGGACGTTAAGTTAGACCCAGATGAGGTCTACAAAGTTGACTGATAACCTGAAGTGGAAGCTGTACAGGAGGTGGCATAGAAAAACCTCACCACTAGCAAGATCAAGGGAGCTAAGAAAAGGAAGTCTACCTCTGCTGCTCCATAATCCCTCTTTTCCCAAATGTACAGCTACATGAAAGACCAAATTGTCCCGCTCTTATACCGAGTTCCTCTTTACTGCATGAGTCCTAATGAATTCAGGCAGCAGGAGCAGCAGACTCCAGCCCTTGCAAGGCTGGAGTCAACCAGTTGAGTGCACAATCCTGTGATTTTTCTAGAATCACTTCAACCCACGATGCAAAAGTGAAGGAGGTAGGAGGTAAGTATCCTGCCAAAATACGACAACATTTTTTAAACAAAGTAACTGCACCAAAATGTGCTGTTTTATTTCCACTCTGGGCTCCCAAAGCATTTCCCTTCTCTCCCTGAATGATAATGGGCATAAAAATTAAATATAAATTCTCCAACAAAAAGCAAAATGCTCTGAAGGGTAATAAATCATGGGGGCTGGATGGCATTCAGAGGAAGTTGGGTGAAGGAATAAAGGATGAAATAGTGTAGATACTAAGATATATCATAGACCCTTAAAAACCCAAGACTCGTCCTCACAGCAGAGGACTCAACACAATGGGCTGAATTTTGATGAAGCAGCAAAGGGAAGTTGTCCAGCGAAGTGCTGGGGTTGGTATGTGGTGCTCACAGTCCTGCAGGGCTCAGAGCACAGCAAATGTCACCCCAGCACGACACTGGCACCCCCACCTCATGCGGGGATGAAGACCCTGATGAAAACATCTTCTAATTTCCCCAAAGCCGCAATTCTGTACCAGTTGCTAACTGCCAAGGTCAGAAGACCTGCAAACAGAAAGTCTGTTCTGGGTGTTTCTAACATTATTTTATACAAAACAGGAGACATGCCCTTCTTGCTTACCCAAAGGGCCCACAGGGATGTACCCGCAGGACTGGTGCTGCCCCTCTTCCTCCCCAGGGCCATGTGCCAAACACGAGCCGTTGCGCTGGCACCAGCAGTGGGATCAACTGGGGACTCCAGAAAAGTAAAGAGGGACCAGCCCGGTGTTGCAGTGGGGATATACACATTTCCAAACAGCAACTATCACGGACTGGATGCTCTCTCATCTCATGACCTGAGATTCTTACATCGGCATTTCCAGTAACCTGAAACACTCCCCAGGGCATCGTACAAAAACACAATATTCTGGAAACACTATATATCAGCACCGGTTTTCTTCTAACAAACAAGATCACCTTTAATTTTGCAGGCACCTCCTACTTCATTAAAGATCTTGCTCTCCAGGGGTTTCCTCCTCAACTGGGGCAGGAAATGAAAAGACAGAAAATGCAATTTAATTGGGGATGAAGCTTCATCTTTACACTGCCTATCATAATTATGTGTCATTTAAAAACAAGCGTGGAGCAGGTGTGAAATGGCACCAGCTCTGGATGCGCATAAAAGAGGTTGACACCAGCAGCATGTCTCAGCAAGAATCAGATGGTGCAACTTGAAAACTTTTCTCTTTGGTTTCTTTCTTCCTTTGTTCCCTCAAACTTCTCAGAAAAATTTCCTTTTGAAAGAGGAG